GTTTTCTGATTAGCTCTATTTTTAGATCCTTTAACATTCTTAGTTATGTTAGCTTTTATTCATTTTTCTTTAACTCTTCTGTTCTTGTATACCCTGTTAGTTGGTCAGTTGCTGTTTTGATTATATTGTTGCTTTTAACTATTAGTGTATCTGGAACTATTTTATTTTGTTATTGATTCTTATGCACTGTTAATAGCTATTTTTTACTGTTTTTTTTTAACTTATACACCTATTGCATTTGTTAATTTTAGTTGCTAAATTGCTTTCTATACTTTGCATCTGCCAATGTTCTATTAGTACTTTTTTTTTTTTTTCTTACTTTTCCTAATTGTTTGTTATCTTTTGCATTATATAAAATTTATTCTTTTTTTCTTTTATTCTTTAAGAGACTTTTCTATTTAATCTTTATTGCTTGTATATTATATCTGTCTATTTTAAAGTATTCTTTAACCTCTTTGCTCTCTAGTTTATTAAGCATTTTTTCTTTTATTCTTTTAAACCATTCTGCTTTTTTACCTTTGCTTGATTGTTTTTAGTAACTTTTAAATTGCTGCCATATAATTAGTTTTTCACTTTTTGTGTTGAGTAATTGATTTAAATATATTAGGCCTATTTTACTTATTTTGGCTCTACTTCTTTTTCACAGTTATGTTTCTAGTAATTCAACTATTTTGTGATTATAGTCACTTATTGTCTATAACTTACTTTCTGTATTTATATTTATTTTTAGCTCTTTTGCTTTAACTATTATTAAACAACTAAGTTGTTTTTTCAATATATTTTATTTTCTAACAGTTTCTCTAATTTTTATATATCTTTAGTTTTAATTTTGCTCTTTGGCAATCTTGTGTTATTTTTAATTTTGTTAACTATTCTAATTCATCTTTTCTATTAAGTTTTGCTAATAGCCCTCCTATTTGTTTCATTGTTAATTCTTGTTATAATGTTTTGCAGCTGCTTAGATCTTTATATTCTATTATGCAATTCTTTAATATTCTTAATAAGCTGCTTTTTTATTTTGCCAAAATATTATTAATTAGTGTATTTTGTTATCTCTTTTTCTAATATTTTTGTTAATTGCAACATATAGCTTAACTTTGTTATTATTACTGTATTGTTTATATATGCTATCTGGCTTATTGTTATCTTCTTGTATTTAAGATTTCTTATTGTTTGGCTTATTATCTCTTTTGCTTTTTTCTTAACTAGAACTTTTTACATTCTGTTGTTTAGCCAGATTTCTAAAAAATGAACTATCTTGTTTCTTGGTTTCTTTATTATTTTACTTTCTTTAAATATTATTTTTTTTTCTTCTTTTTTAACTTTTCTGTTCATTATTATTAACTTTAACTTAGCTCTATTTATCTCTATGTTATTTATTTTAAAAAACTTTTCTACTATTTTTAATATTTCTAATAGCTGTTTTTTGCTATTTACAATCTATATCATATTATCTGCATATGTAATTGTTACTTGACAATAGCTTGTGATATTATTGCAATATATTTTTTCTTTGATTTCTTGCTTTACTATATAGTCTAATCTTTTGTTATTCTGTATCCTTTTCAGGAATAAGTCATAAAAGAGGCACTAGATTAGTAATAATATTATTTTTCTTGATCTATTCTATCTTTTGTTATTATTTCTTCTATTAGGCCATAGGTTGTGATTATCTTATACTGTCTTTTATAAAAAAAAATCAAAATATGCTTGATTGTCTTCTTAAATATCTTAACTCTTTGCAAAGTTTGTTTAAAACTTTTGAGTAAGATAAAGCCAAAAGCCTTTTCATATCTTGCAGAAGTATTTATAATTCTTTGTTTTTTTTCCTTTGTCTTTTTTATTGTTATATTTAGAACATATACTGGCTATTTTATTAAGTTTCTTAGAAGATCTGCATAGTTTGGTCTCTTAAGTATTTCTTTTTTAACAAAAATTTTACTAAGTCTTTTTGTTAACATCTTCAATATAATCTTTTTGAATGTTTTAATTAAGACTATTGTACAAATTTTATTTAAACTATATTACTATTTTACATCTTTTGGTATTAGATATACTTACACTATCTTCATTTTATTAGTATTTTTCATGTCTTTAACCATAGATCTGCATAAGCTCTGGACACTTCTTGTACTTTCTTTTCTGCTCTTTTAATCAGAGTATAACTTATTCTTGATATTCCAGAAACTGTTTCTGTTTTGAGCTCTCTAATTATTTCATTTCATTCTTTTTTTTCAATTTTTCTTTTAATTCCATTATACCATTCTTTTTTAATATAATTCTGAGATTTGTAAATTTTTTTTCAATTTTCTAATATCTCTTTTAGCTTAATATTTTTTTTTCTAAATTGTTTTTTATGTTCTGCTGTGACTTCTTTAACTAGCTTTGATTCTGTTACTAGTTTTGTTTTTTTTCTGCTTATTCAATTAATCTATTGAGTATTACCTTCTTGTATAGTTTGTTCAAAAAATTGGCTATTATTTTTTCTTAGTTAGTTTAGATCATTTTACATCTTATGTCTATATTTTCTTCTATTTGTTTTCTTTGTTTTTGTTTTTATTTATTTATTTTTTTTTTTTGAAGAATTCTTTGTCAATTCTTTATAACCTTTATTCATGTATTAAACTATTGTCTTTGGATTTTTGGTAACTTTGCATCTATTTTTTTGTTCAGTATCTTAAGTTTTCTATTTACTTCATTTTTTTTGTTTTTGTAACTTTCAGTTTTTTTTTTGTTTTTATGTATTTGACTAATTTTTGGAGCTCTACAATAGTCTTTTTCTATTATTAGTTTTTTTGGCTATGCTTTTTGTTTGTTATCATGTTGTAAATCTTTTTCTTAAATATATGCTTGTTTGTTGTTATAATTGCCTCTTCTATTATATCTTAAATATTATTTATCTTTTGTGTTTTTCTTTTTGTTTTTTGTTCTTTCTTTTGAATATATTTTAATGCTTTTTTAATTTTCAATCATTTTTGTAATTCTTGTATGGTGTGAGACACTTAATCACATCACAAAATAATTGTTTTCAATAAAAGTTTAATAACTTTTTAACTAATAATAATTTTTAAAAAAATCTTTCTATAGTTATATTATCTAAGACCTAAGGAATATAGCTATAGAGAGTTTTTTTAAAAAAGTTTTTTTGTTAAAAAGTTATTTTGATTTAAAAATTCTTTAATTTATTAATAATTTTAAAAAATTCAGCACTTGATTTTATTAATAAAAATACAAAATTCAGCACTTTTTTATATATTAAATTCAGCACTTCATTTTATTAATAATATTAAAAAATTCAGCATTTTTTTATATATTAAATTCAGCACTTTATTTTATTAATATTAAATTATAAACTCAAAATATAAATAATAATCATGCTTGAGTTATTAAAGATTCAACTTAGAATAAAATTAAATAGATTTTAAATTATTTTTATTAAACACGTTTGAATTTAAGCCAGTTAAAATTTATCTATAATACAGTACATTGCAAATTGTTAAAAGCATTATATAAGAGTTTATATTTATGTTATATGTCAGATTTGAAGAGTTATAGTGATAACCAAAAAAAACCAAACTTCAGCTTCAGCTTTTAAACCTAAAACTTACTATAAAAAAAATCTAAATTTGCAAGTTCAAATTTTGGTGTTTCTATTATCGCTTATATAAATTATGATTAGCTTAACTCGATCCTAAATATATCCATTCTTATTCTATATATAATACTTATAAGGTAAACTCCTTTTTCTATATTTACAACTTTTATCCTACAAATTTTTGCAATTGTTTAATAGACACTTCTCAAATTCTTAAAGCATTGAAAGAATATTATTCAACTCTGTAAACTTGTCAGAACCCAATGAGCACAAGTAGCTTTGAGTTAAATTTAATAATTTGAATTATAAAGTTGGTTTGTGTTTCAAGATCACATATGAATAACAGGAGGAACCGTCAATGTTATACGTTAATCCTTCATACAATGTAGTCAATCAATAATAAAATTATTTATTTTGTATTTACACTAAAATGTATGTTATGGATATAATCCCTTGCCCTATCGTTCACAATTAAACTAAAATTATTTATATGTAACTTCAAGTGTAATGGATATAATTCCTCATTTGGTATAATATTAACAATTCCTTCTGTTCATATAGATATATCAATATGATCTTTTGTACTCCCGGTTTTATGGTAATATATTACAGTATCACGGTTCAAGATCAATTTATTACGCTAATCATGAATCTTATCAATTTAAATAGATAAGGAGTTTGATTATTAATCAACATATACTTTTTTTATTAATAAGTAATGTTGGTTGTATGAAGGTTAGAGACAATGTAATGATCAAATTACTTTAATGATTTTTGCAATGAATAAAAGTACTACCATAGTGCACTGACCAAAGTACCCATCTCTATTAATTAAACATAAGTTTTTTTAAATTTTTAAACTGCTTATTGTAAGTACAGAATATGTATATGCTTGAAAATTTTCTTTCTTGTGACATAGACCCGTAACGGTCAATAGACCCAGGTCTTTTGTAAGTTTTTTTTTGAATAGATTGTATTGTATCCCGGGTACTTTGGTCAGTGCACTATAGTACATAGAGACTATTACTAATACTTTATAATTTGAAAATAAGTTTCTTTATTTTAAAGATTTTTTTATACAGTACATTTATGATGATATAAGATTTTATCATTCTGTCTACTCTTTCTACCATATGCTACATATATAACAGGTTTGGCAGATCTGACCAATTTGGATTCACCCAGCAATACTAGTATGTAGCAATAAGTAAGAATTTACCAATACAGGTTATACATAAAATGTTTAATATATTTAATAACTTGTTTATATTTATTTGCAATAGAACTATACTAATATATGTATATAAAATACTAATAATAATGGTTGAAAAAGTAGAAATCTTAAAGTATAAAAAAATACATATGTATAAGAATGTTAAAAAATTAATCATTAATATACTCACCTTTATTCAATATTCAGGTCTTCTAGTATATTATTTGGTATTCTTCTATGAGATTTATATTTTTTAACAGCAAAAGCAGCCTGTTTTACAGATAATCCTAGTCTATATGCACTCATATAATGTAGTGAACGCCTTGAAAATTTTCGAATTTGAATTAAAGAAACTGAATCAAGAGCCATTGGAACAATATTTTTTAAAGATTTAAAGCTATAATCACAGTTAGCACATGTATTAACTTTTACTGCACCCCAATAACTCTCAATATAATTCAATTCACAGTGGAATTTTGAATAAAAAATAATTTTGTGACCTGCCTCTTCGACAATTTTTTCAAGAAGTGATTTTTGGTTAACAAAATCTGGTTCTAGGCTTAAAATTCATATAGCACAACAATCATGTTCCTGAGGAGCTCGCTTTTTACAATCTGAGCAAATTTTTTTTAAATTAGGGTAGGTTAAACCTCTTTCTTCAAGAACTTGATACATTTCTTTTGGTGTGCCATCAGGATAATTCATTTCTTGTAAAGTACCATCCCGCATATAAGTATTTCTCATTTGAGGTTATTGACCACCAGATTTGAAATTCATTTGTGAAACTACTAAAGCATTATTAGCGAATGCAGCATGGTTACTGCTATTATCAAAAGCAAAAACGGCTACGCAACCAGGGTGCATTGCTTCAAATATTGAAATTGCCTTGTTTTTTAATTGCTGTGCCACATCACTAATTGTCCAGTAACCATCACGATTATTACCAAGGTGAATAATACAACAGGCTTCAGTAGGAATTTGTTGTTCAAATAGAAGACTATTATTTTGTTGCTAGTGAATATTATCTAATCAAAGTCATCCAATTGTATTACAAAGAAACTCACTAACCATTATACTACCCCCAGCTGATTTTGAACGTAACGATTGTTTACCAATAGGTGCCCAAAATGCCCTTTGACCATCATTTGCATAAAATACTGATTCATCATGCATTACTAGTATATGTAACCTTTCTCCAGCAGGAAGAACTGGATTGATTTGTTGTGTTAAATCATCAGACCAATCTGGCATTAATAACTTATACTGCGCCATACTATCTAAAAAACTATGATGATACTCTACAACATCTGATCATTCATGGCCATCAACATATATATCTTTTTGATATGGTTTAAATTCCCATCCTAAATTGTTTAACCATCTTTGCACTGTTTTATTACTAATAGTTTTTCCTGTTTCAATTCCGACGCTTGAAAATATTTCATCATGAACATAGTCACAAAGGTTAGGAATGCTTAATTTAAACTTATGAAAGCTTAAATATTCAAGAAGCTTATTTTTAATATCTTCATCAAGTAAAAG